GACCTCTGTGCTCTGAATGTCACTGGTCCAACAGAGCCTTCAGGAGTCAGTGTGCTGAGTGGGGTGTATTTCTGAAGGCAGCCTAACAAGAGGAAGACAGGCGCACGACAGAGAGCGTGTCGATGGCCATCCAGTGATCAGAGACATGTTTAAACAAACTCTGGTCGGAATAAACCCGTGTGTGCGTGAACGGGCACCCTAGTTGCAATGCTTGTTGACTGATGGCTGTAATCTTCAGGAGGAAAAATAACTTCATTGTCGTCTTTGTGCACATAAAGGCAACATGGACAGCAATTCGATATGCCTATACCAAACCAAGCCCACGGCCACCAAGTCCATTCCAACACGCAGTGACCACGTCGGACTAGGACAGAACTGCCCCCGGGGAGGGGTCCGAGGCTGTCTTTAAGAGAGTAGAAAACCTTGTCTTTCTCCCAAAGAGCAGCTGGTGGTTTCAAACTGCTGACCTTGCCGGAAGCCGTCCAACACGTAACCACTATGCCACCAGACTCCTTGCGAACTTTTTACAGCCCCCTCATATTGCTTTTGTTGAAAGGAAAAACAAAACCCCAGCAATTTTGTAATTTTAACAAAATTCCATGTAGCTGTAGTTGAAAGGGAAGCTCAAAAGAAGTATTTCTTTTTAAACGTATCATGCTTAGTTTTAATTGCATCAAGGTACTGTTAGCTCTGGAAAAATATTTTCAAGACAATTATTCTGCTCTTTTCTTAGTAAAGAGAAATATCAAAAGATAGACCTCAATACATGCTCTCTCAACAAGAAGAATTTTAAACTATTATTAGTTTAAGTAACTTAAGTAAGTTTAAATAACCTATTGTTAAATTCTGGGCGAATTCCAGTAGTATTTCTAGAACAACAACAATTAAAAGGTCTACATACTTTTTACTTAGCTTATACAGCAAATCCTGCACCCAGAGATCTCTGAATTAAAAGAAAACAAATCTCTTAGGTGATCATATTCCTGCTTGCTATGTGATTATTTTCTATCTGATCCTTGCCAAACAAAAGAAGTCCTTACTACCAATATTCTTGGTAAACACATAATGCCTTCCTTAACAAACTAAAACTCAATATAAAAATTAAATATGAAAAAATTACATTCAAACTTTAACTCGTTACTGAAATTTACTACTTTCATGGAGTTTTTCAAATACATGCACAAATTTCAGAACTCTTAGTCAACCTTGAGGAGAAACTCACCTCTCCTAACTTGAAAATTCACGCTGCAACAATGAGTAGACAGCAGTCCCTATCTACTGGCTCCAAGTTCAGATTACATTTGAGACATTACCTTTCTTTAGCATTAGAACAAGACAACAGCTCGGTGCCCCTACAATGGGGAGGGGTGGTGGAAGTGGCTTAAAGGGCATTGTGGGTTCAAATGCCTAAGGGATTCAATTATGGTCAGCACACAAATACGTGCCCTCAATTGACTAGTTTATCCTTGTCATTAAAACAATGAACAAACTTGCCGGTGGAGGGGTTCAACTTAACGCAATAAAAAATCATAAATTAAAAAAAAAAGGTATAAAGTCCCAAATTAAGGTTTTTCGAAAGATAATTCAACATAATAAAAACTGCATATTATCAGATGGTTTTCCGGTCTCCTCCGCCACACACTGCTTCCAGTGCGGGTGCCCTGGCAGTTAACAGTAATACTGCCCAGTTATGAAGGTTCCATGAGGTGCTTTTGAAACCCAGAGAAAGCAGCCCCAACTCTTGTTTTCCACCACGAAGCACAACCTGCTAGTCAAATCAGCCAGAAAGAAAACAATAAATCGAAAGCACTCAAAGCACCTGCCACGTCATAGGACATTTTAAAAGGGCACAGTTGAGAACCGCTAGTTAGGCTACACCGCACGCTGGGATACCTACTCTCTTTTGAGCAGGAGCACAAGAAAGCCAACACTTCATCACAGACCGTTTCCTTGCTTGTTGCTAACAGCAAACTACTTCGCAGTAGCTTACGAATCTCTGCAGCGAACAAAGCCAGCCCGCAGACCAACTCCCAGGGAGTGACTCAGACCCTCTCCATCCAGCTTGTCCTGCTCAACAATCCTCTGCTGGGCCACACTTAGCTTGCATCTCTAAAGACACCGCCTTCATCTTCAGCATCCTTCTCCGCCTTCATGATGCTTGGAAATGTGCCCCGCACGTGAGTCAAAACAGCCCTGAGCCAGGTCTCGTAACTCCTCCTATTGCTTATTTTTTGAAAGGTGTTTTCCAGGGCCGTCCCTGTCAGGGACTCCACAGAAAAAATGTGACTACTCTACATCCTGCTGCCTCCACACCGACTGCGGCACAGTAAACCTGCCCACATCCGACTCAGCTCACGGGCAGAGTGCAGGCGGCCTCCCATTGGCCAGCTTCTATTTTAGATTTGAGAGGACTTGACAGCTGAGTGATGGGCCGGCACAGCTAAGAATATATTGTAAATGCATGCTTTTCCTCTGAGTAATAAAGTTCAGGTCTAGTGGGGGCAAGTGGCTCAAGCGCATTGTAAAGCATGTCTTATTTTATCACAACAACTCGTCTGATGTAATGACCAGATTGCAAGCGACAGATATGGTTATTCCACAGAACGAATTTGAAGCCAGCTTCCGTTTCAGCCCCGTCGATCCTGCAGTCAGAATAGCTTTGACAAACAACATAAAAGTCTATTTTAAGTAAACGTGTCACATTTTAATTTAAGGAAGCACACAGACAGTTACTCGTGCAAATTTTCTCTGATCTGTCTCATTCTGGGTACAACCCGGTTTCAGTTTTCAACTGCTGCCAGTCTGTCTCCTGAAATGTCCAAAGAGAAGAGCCAGAGGGATTGCCAAGACATTAAATAGACTACATCATGTTAAGACTGCTCCACCAATTTTAAATTTAACTCAGGACTCTTAATTTCTAAGTTAAGCACCCTGTCTGATAAGACAAGTAAATATTTTCTCGGTGGAAAGTCAAGTTATCTGAATTCCTTGGACACATAAGTAAATAAAGTAGCTTGCTAAATCCTAATAAAGGGGAAATCGGCACTAAACCCTGAGCTAGACAGTACATAAAGCTCTCTTTGGGGACAGCTTCTCCACATTCTCCGTGGTAGTGAGCACACTCCTACCAACATGCCTTGGATTATTAGGGACCTCAACAAACACGGATGCTTCTTTCTCTGCCAAGTTCAGTTTACCATAAGAGCATGAGAATAACTCACACTTCCTGCAAAAAAGACAGATTTGGGGATTTATTTTTCATGGGAATGTAGAGCATTACAACACAAACAAGCGTTTAGAGGAAGGAGGTAACTGCTAAGCTACAGATCAAGCTGCCAGTTAAAAATTCTATTCTCAACTTCAGTAAAAAATCCATTTCCTACTATTCAAATTTAAAATAGCAGGGCCTACCGCTCAAATTTAAATATATAAGAGTATATACATACTACAGTGTATTGTGTTTGAAACAATGATGTTCCCTCCCAAAACCACATTAGATATTACAATGGATTTATCTGGCAAGACCTACTCTCAGAAAACCACAGGGGCAATTCTACCCTGTCCCATAGGGTCGCTCTGAGTTGGCCACGTTGCCATCAGCTTGCTGGCAGCGAGTTTGGTTTTCCTCATAGGGCCGCTCGCTCTAGGTTGGAATTGACCCAATGGTGGTGTGAACAACATCCGACTTTCACGCAACTGGCAGTTAGAAACCAACCCCAAAAGTGAATGTTACAAGCTACAATCCAGATCCAGATTGAGCTCAGAAATAACAGTAGCCAATCACATTGTACGCCAGGAGTTGGGACCCTGTAAAAAAAACCCAAACTCTCGGCCATTGAGTCAACGCTGGCTCATATAGAACCTATAGGATCGGGTCAACAGAACCACCCCTGTGAGTTTTCCAGACTGTTAACTCTTTACAGGAGTAAAAAGCTCTGTCTTTCTCCCGAGGAACCAGTAGTTTCACACTGCCAACCTTGCGGTTAACAGCCTAACCCATAAGTACTCTATCGCCAGAGCTCCTTTTAGCACCCCTGTTCACAGTGTCGGAGGCTGTGGATCCTACAGACATAGCCTGCCTCCTCGTTCACCCTCGGAACAGATGATGGTCTTGGTGCGCCAACATGTACATTAGCAGGTCCAAGCCTCCCCGCACCACAGTCCTAGGGCTCCTTTCTGTTGGTACCGAAATCCCCAATCAAACTCGCTGCCATGTATTTGATGTCAATTCACACACCCTACAGGACAGAGTAGAACTGGCCCTGTACATTTCCCAGGCTATACATTGTAATGGGAACAGAAAGCCTCATTTTTCTCCCTCAGCGCAGCTGGTGGGTTCAAAAAGCCAACCTTGCCGTTAGCGACCCAACTTGTAACCCATTATACTTTCAGGGATCCTTCTTCTGTTGATGCAATGCCCCAGAAACTTAAACAATGCATTAATTTTTAAATTGCATTTCATGTTTTCATGTTTGGTAGAAGTACAGTATTTAGTTTGGGGTTTTGCAACTAAAAAGACAGTTTTGCCTTTTACATATTGTTCTAGCGTTAAGTCCTGCTACAAGAGTGGGCAATAACTCACTTATTGGAAAAAAAAATGTTTAACTAACTGAATGAGCAGCTCTGTGCAAAAAGATATAATCATTTAATCACTCAAAATTCACATTTGTATGTGCCAGGCCCCATGTGGGTGCTGGACATACTGGCAGGAAACAAAATAGACAGGATTTTTGGCCTTGGGTCAAAAATTTTATTACCACATTAGTAAAATCTAATCATTCTCTCCAACTGACCTCACAATATAATAAGGGAAGCAGGAATGTTTGTAATCAAGTAAATAATATTCACAACATATTGTAATAAAGCCATCATTGCTACCTATAAGATTTAGAGGTAACTCAAAAAGGGAGAAAAATTGAGAAAGAAGATACCAAAGACGTGGCCTTTTCAAAACCCACTGCCATTGGGTGATGCCATAGCAGCCCCATGGACAAGGCCGACTTGCCCGTGTGTTTCTCCGGCTGTCAGTCTCTTGACAGGAACAGGCCCGTCTGTGGTTAACAACCCAGGGCATAAGCCACCAGAGCTTCGTGCTACTTGTCGAAGCTGAGGAGAAGACCACCAGGTTGGAACCAGCATCACAACCGAGTCACGACAAACACAGCAACCTGCCGCCCCTCCTGTTTAACAGTCTTTTATCTTCATGGTAAAGCAAATACACTCTCTGTCTGAACGACTCAGAAACACATCAGCAACTCAGCGGATCGAAGCTCCAGGACCACGTATTCAAATGTCTTTCTTCACTCTCAAACGACAAACGTCCTCTTCCTCCTGAACCTTCAGGCCTCAAACACACAACAAATGATACATCGGTCCATAGAGTTGTGCAATACGGAAACCTAGAAATCGATCTTAGCATCTTCCTTTTTTTGATCCCTTATTATCAAATCCCATTGCTTTCACCTATTTACTACTCCTCAAATCCACCCATTCAAATCCACCCAGCCTGCTACTCCACTCCAGCTTACCACAGTCCTGAGGCAGAATGCGCATATTCACGTCCTCCGTGGTCTGTCCACATTCACACACACACACACACACACCCGGCCCTTCCCTTGTGTTCACACCAGAGCTAGAGCAACAGTTCATCATCACCAACCCCGGCTCGCACTCCGTCCCAGCTCACTTAAACAAAGATTATTAAACTGTTGGGCACAGCCCTTTTTGAGGTACATTAACTGATTGTGGGGGTCATGGGAAATATGGCAACGACCAAAAAGTAATTCAAAATCAAACATGTAATGAATCCAAGGTATTTCTGGCAGTGCTTGCCCGGGCTGCTAATTTTTCAGGCAAAAAGCAGTGGGGATGGGAATGGAAAGGGTTTAAGAAGTCCTGACTCAAAATAGGTCAGCCCTCAAGTTGTGTCAACAAAAATAACAGATTAAGGAATCCCAAAGTCTTCCTTTCCATGAAAATGGCAATGAAAAAATGGGCAGAAAATATCACAGTGAATTCCAGGGGAACGCTGACAATTAGCCAAAGGATTCAAACAACTCAGAAAACACCTGCACAAAACAACAGCTGGCTCTCGGTGTGACAGCGAACGCATGCACCTTTCCTTTACCCTGGTCCGAGCCACACTCTGAAGCTCAGACAGGGCTAGGAAAGGTAGCTGGGAAAATTACAGCTCACATTCCCAGGCCCATACCAGGTGACGCCGCAGACATCACGGGCCAACCATGGCCATGAATTGTTTCTTCTGTTCTGTCTGGTCCCTGCAAGGCCAGCTCAAAAGGCCTGTCTTTATTTCACCTGACTCAGAAATGACCCAATACTAAAGCTGCTTCACAGGTTACAGTCTTAGTGACTGCAACCTGAGTCAATATATACAGTTGGATCAAGCAATACAGTAAGTCCTGGGGTTAAGAACATCCAATTAACAGACAACTAGGCACTTTAAGAACAGTCTGCCCAGGCCTTGGGCCTCAGCTCATACCTTCCCTCAACACAATACCACTTTGTTCTAACAAATTGGCATTCTGTGATGCTCAACTCCTCTCCCCACTACATGATCGCTGAAAACAAAATAGGTGCATAAGCAGAGGTGGTGAAGAGAGAGGATGGTGCCCGGCTATTAAAAGATATACTGTCTAGGGTCTTAAAGGCTTGAAGTTAAACAAGAGGCCACCCAACAATGAAGCAACAAGCCCACATGGAAGAAGCACAACAGCTGGTGTGATCGTGAGGTGTCAGACACCCAGAAACAGGCATAAGAAGATTCACAACAAACAGTAAACAAAAAAGTAAAAAAAGTAAAAAAAAAAAATGTATTGGTGAGAATGGAGAGGGGTTGGAGCAGAGACCAGAAGCCCATCTATGGACAATGGAACCTGCCCTACAGAGGGGTTGCAGGGAGGGGATGAGTCAATTAGGGTGCAGTAGA